ATACTCGCCCAAACCGGCAACAAGACGAGCCAAGAATTGATTGAAGCCTGGTCCACGGATGGAAACTCAATCAATCGATTTAACGCCGGCGTACAAAGTCCTGCGCAGTCACTTGCATCAATGATAGTTGATTGGCTTATACCCCCTATAATTACCCCCGTTTTTTGTTGCTGCTGTCATCTATGACGGTGAACTCATGTACGAGTCCGAAAGCTAAGGACAATTAGCGGACTTCTCCAGTGCTCGAGCAGCTTTCTTCTTAACTCAGAAGGAATATATGTTTCGAAGGCAAACCGTAGCCGTCCTCCTTCGGGGCGGCTGGAGATCACACCTCAGCCAGGTTTGGCTGACCGGGTCAAATCCCCACGTGCTGAAGTCTGTTGGTGCGCCACAGAAGCGGGCTTTGTTGGTTTTCTCTGCACAGGAACCCCCGGCTTTTCTAGTCCCAATCTAAAATACAGATATGAAGAAAATTAACATTTCCAGCCCCTCCCCCTTTCACTGAGACAGTCTTCGTACAAGGTTTCCCAAGCTAAGACCGGAACGTCAGATGAAGATGGTGGTGTTTTCACCCGGTGCAAAGCGTTGGTTTGTGTACTTGTCGGTAGAACAACAAAGATTAGGGAATAAATGGCCCTTCCGGCCGCACACTTCAAGATATTCGGACGTGTAGGTGTACACAAAACACAGAGGAGCTGAATCGTATGTGGAGTTGGCGCAAACAGTAGATGCCAAAGGAATATATCCGTCTCCTCGTAGAGCCCACAACAGTTGCTGCCAATGACGTGCTTCAGTTAAAAGTGATAGCGACAAAAATGCAATATCGGAAATGAAAGAAATATTGAAAAACCGTCATGTTACAGAAGACGTCCTAAATAAGAGAACAGGGACGATATAAATGTCAGTGTTGCTGAAAGTAAGTTGGAAACTCATAAATTTCAGCCGTGCAACAGACCCGGAGGACGCTGTCGGAGCTGCATTTTGATAATAAGTTAGCAAAAGAAGGTAATATGGAGGGGGGGGGGAAAGTCTGATAGATTGTACAGATAGGTAGAAGAATTTTCCCTCAGAAACGTCTCACACCTAGGGGTTTTCCAGACAGTGCTGGTCTGGTGCCCGTATTGTAGGCAAGCTTGAACCTGTATGGTGACACTTCGGGCATGGAAAAGTCGATTAGACTTTCGCAGTCGGCCTGAGAACTTCCAAGTTCGGGCAAGTAGTTCTCTGGAGTGTTGATGCAGTCCAGGACGTACAGCAGTTCACCCTGCAGTTGAGAAGTCAACTTCCGTCGGTACTCTTCATTTTCTTAAGGGAGAGAAGTACATGGACCTAAGCAGATAAAGTACTGGTGGATAAGTTAGAACTCTCATCGAACGGCTGATTAGACTAATTTAACGTAGATTTGCAATCTCATTAAATGCCAATCGAAACTCTGAGATACGTTTCGAATTCGAAAAAAAAATTACTCGAGTAGGGTTGTAATTATTGTGTGGCATAAAAACATCAGGGTGCCGCCATTCGAACAATCTTTCTGTTTGTCCGCGAAAGCCACACCTGTAAAAATGACTACTTAAGTAGTACGATCGTCTCGTAGCTCAGTTGGCTAGAGCGCTGGTTGTACTAAAGCCTTCCTCTCTGACGTTGTGGGTTCGAATCCCATCGAGGCTGCCTATTTTTTCACGACTGCGTAAAAGTAAGGAACTTAAATGTTTTTATAAAATCCCAAGATACCCACCGTCAGTTATGGAGTTAGAAGACATGACTTTCTACGAAGCGAGTACAATACATAATTTATCCTGGCATTGAAAATAAATTCTAAAAAACAAGCATACTACTTAAGTAATAATTTTTATAGAGTATAGTTTTTGTCGACGACTCGTTCGAAAGCCGGCATCTTGATATGATTGACACTTCTTGGGATTATGCTACATGATAATTACTATTACAGACCTAGCTAAGTAATCTTTTAGACACTCGAAAATCACTTCAGCAAAGAAGGATTAGGAAGCCACTGATAGAAACGACAATATGCGCTTTCTTAGGATAACTGAATCATCGGAAGCGACGGGGTCCACCAGTATTGATAGGAAGCTGTGGTGAGCTGTGTGCAAGTTTTTGATATGGCATAAACTGGCGCGGCACCCACGCTACGCACTATTAACATCAAACATAGCAGGGCCGAGACAATAAGCGGACGCCGACACAGGGGCTGAAAAAACCCAGTGTTCCACACGTGCAGGCGACACCTGACCTGCTGGTGGGCTTCAGAAGAAGGCGACGGTTTCGGATGTGACATATGCAAACACCAGGGAGGCAACACTAAGGAGCTATTGCAGTTTAGTTCTCATTTAAAAGGAAAACAGAACGGCAAACTTACGAGCTAAGGCTGTTAACGCGTCGCGACAGTTTTAAGCGCATCAGATTTATTACTTTGAGGAAAGCACCAAGCTGCCATGTGGAGAGATTCTCCATATATACAGTATGAAGTGAGCACCCATAGTACGAAACGGTTGCCTAATTGTCGTGTAGCTACCAGAAGAACAGATTGAGGCCGAAATTGTCAGTCGAATCCGTGCTCTTCCCCAGGTTCTGACAAGAATTCGAGAAGACGGTAGCCATGACTCACTTGTCGCGGGGATCCATAAGTACCGAGCATAAGTCTAGTTAGTCCTTCTCTACGGTTGTGAATGTTGGGCTGTGC